CGGGGCCTTACTAATATAAGCCAAAGGGTGTCCTCGCTGTTGCAGAACCGCACCCACACCCACTCTAGAAGCATCAGTTTCGATCTCAAAAGGGATGGAAAAATCAGGGAGTGCCAACACCGGAGCTGAGGATAGTGTTGTCTTGAGGGTCAGAAATGTAGACTCATGAATGGAAGTCCATACAAAGAGTGAATCCTTTTTGAGCAAATCCGTTAGTGGTTTGGCGATGACCCCAAAATTGCGGACGAACTTCCGATAATAGCCAGCCAACCCAAGGAATCCCCGAAGATCATGGACGGAAGATGGTGTTGGCCAGTCCCGAATTGCTTGTACCTTGGCCGGATCTGTAGCCAGACCTGAGCCGCCAATCACATGGCCTAAGTAAGAAACTTGCCTTTGAGCAAACTTGCACTTCGAGAGCTTAATCTTCCATTTTTCTGCTGCAAGCCACTAAAAAACCAGAGCAACATGTTGTACGTGCTCCTCGTAGGACTTGTTGTAGATCAAGATATCATCGAAAAAGACTATCACGAAGCGGCGAAGCCTAGGAGCCAACGTCACATCCATAGCACCTTGAAATGTTCTCAGAGCTCCAGTTAAGCCGAAGGCCATAACTCGAAATTCGTACTGATCGAGATGGGTTTGAAATGCGGTCTTGTGCTCTTCACCCGGTTGGAGCAATATCTGATGGAACCCCGCACAAAGATCCAGATTGGTGGACCAACTGGCATGAGCTAACTCATCCATCAGTTCCTCGAACACTGGTACAGGAAACTTGGACTTCGCTGTGAGTGCATTGAGGTGACGAAAGTCCACGCAAAACCGATACGAGCCATCCTTCTTCTTGACCAAGAGCACTGGCGAAGAGAAGGAACTAGAGCTTGGCTGTATGATCCCTTGAGAGAGCATCTCATTGACTTGTCGCTCAATTTCATCTTTGAGGCTCGGTGGGTATCGGTAAGGGCGGATGTACACAGGACTAGCACCGAGCAGCGGCGGGATGGAGTGGTTACATGCTCTGGAAGGTGGCAAGTCCACCGGTGGAGTGAACAAGTCCGGAAATGAATTAACAAGAGCTTGTATTTCCACTGGAAGCTCCTGAGTGGCAGAAGAAGATGCTACACTAGAATCCAGAACCTGGCAGAGCTGAAGAAGCAACTGACTGGGGGACTCCTCATCCAGACCTGGCAACAGCACAGAATCACCATGATAGGGAATAGAGAACCACTTCTGCTGCCAGTGAACATGCATTGGGCTGAAAGCAGCGAGCCAGTCCATACTCACAATAGCACCGAAGGCCGTCAATGGAAGCACTCTAAAATTAGAATGGAAAGTGCATTGTTCCAGTGTCCACGGCACATTACGGAGGATTCCGGAGCTCAGCAACAGGCCACCACCAGCAACTTGCACTTGAGTGGATTGCGGAGTAAGCACTGCTGACGACAATTGGGCTGCCAACGATTCACTGAGAAAAGATGACGAGCTACCAGAGTCAATCAGAATTAACGCTGGATGGCCACCGACTGTCCCTGGAAACCAAATAGTACGAGCAGCACAAGCACCAAGAGCAGCAGCTTTGAAAATGGCAACAAACAACTGCTCGGTGACCGGCTTCTCATGAAGTTCAAAACAATTAGCTTCAGAGGTATCAAATGAGTCCCAAAGAGCTTCCACGACAAGCAACACTTCAGGAGGGCACGTATGGTCTTTACTCCACTTGGCACCACACTTGTAACAGAGACCCAAAGCCTTCCGATAAGCCTTGACCGCCTGAAGCTTGGGATCAACACTGGAGGAATGCTTAACTGTAGGAGCCGCTACCATAGGACCAGGAGCTGGGGCTGGTCCCTTGTCAGCACGGGGTGGCGGAGGAAGAGGCAATGGCGTCCTAGGAGGATGCTGGAACTTGGACGACGCATACCAATCACTAGAACGAGACTGCTTGGTTGGAGCAGCAGCCCCCGCCTCCTCCTACAACAATGCCAAAACACAAGCAACATCGAGGTTTTGTGGACGCTGAACCAACACAACTGCTTTAATATCTGGAAACAACCCATCGATAAAGCGCATGGTGTAATAGACAGGGTTGGTAGAATTGGAGTAAGCTGATAGCTGATCCACGAGTTCAGTAAAACATGTGACATAATCAGAGATAGAGGTAAGCTGTTTGATGGAAAACAGCTTACGGATCAACAGCTCATGTTGGTCACGATCGAAACAATCATGCAACAATTGACAGAAAGTAGACCAAGTGGCAGAACGAATTTGGGATTCGATGGACTGGAACCAGCGTGCTATAGGGCCTTCCAGATAATGTTCAGACATGCTGATCCACAGAGACTCCTCCATGCCATACATAGCGAAATACTTCTCACAACGACAACGCCACAAGCGTGGATTGTCACCGTTAAATTTGGGGAAGGAAAGCTTAGGAAGGCGACCTAACACAAAGGAGTGAGAATAAGGGTATGAAGGCTTGTGGTGGGCGAAATTGGGAGGAATTGTAGGATGTGGTGGAAAAACTGGTGAAACTGAAGTAATTGGTGGATAAACTGACGAAATAAGTGAAGAAGGTGGAAAAATTGGTGGAACAGAAGAAGGAATGGAAAAATTTGGAGGAGCAGGAAGTGGAGAAGAAATTTTTGGGTGATGTGGGTTGGGTTGGGCAAAATTGGGAGGAGCCGGAAGAGGTGAAGAAAAATACGGTTGAATTGAGGTGGTGTGGGGACAACTCGGTGAAATGGAGTATGGCGGATGAAAGCTAGGTGGATTCGGCTGTGGTGGGGGAAAATTGACCGACGACGGGTAAGGTGGGTGAAAGGTGGGCTGTACCGGCCAAATTGGAGGGCGAGGTAGAACGATAATGGGAGGAGGATGATCCAACACCACAACTGACGAAGAAATCAGAGGAGGGAGAGGAGTAGACGTCGTACCGTTGGCCGGGATATGGCTCTAGGTCGTGACGACCCCGGATCCAGTACCCCGTGGAATCGATGTAGAGCTGTGCCCGTTGGTTCCATCGGTGGGCGGTTCGGTAACTGGCCGCGTGGCTGCCGACGACGGGGACAGGGAGGGTCCGAGCTAGCGAGTCGACGAGGAGCCCTGCGTGTGGTCCCAGTTGTTGGAGATGCGCTTCACCTCGAGCCTGAGATCGTCCATGAGCGCCTCTACCGCAGGCCGCCAAGTCTCAAGGTCCATGGCCGCCACCTCCAGCGCCATGACTCGGCTGTCGTGGTTGTCGTTGGTGTGGGCGAGCCGAATCGAGTCCAGGTTGGAGCAGGCAACCTCCAAGGTGGCGAGGCGGCCGTCGACCATCGAGTCACGAGCGGCGCAGTCATGGTCCAGATCGGAGAAGCGCCGCTCCCATTTCTCATCCTGTCCGTTGAACTGGCGATTGAGCTCGTCGAGGACCAGCTTCAGGTGGGGATTCATGGCACCCTGAGCGTGCGGGAGCCGGGTGAAGTGCTCGTGTGGCTGCGGCGGCGCGGGATCCAGATCGGCCTAGTTTGATACCAATTGTGAGACACAGCTATGAATTGTATACTTAGCAAGGAAGAAGAACAAGTATTGTACGCTAAGTGCTTGTAATACAAGAATGAATATATGGTTCACTTCTTTGCTATCCTCTCTCGTTCACGGCACTCAGCTCATATACACAGCTATGCTTGCCACATGGGCCCGAACACCCTGGAGTTGGGCCGTGCCTGTCTCTTGGGCCTCGGCGAAGGAGGGCCAGCGTTACTGGGGCAGACTTCCGGACCATTAGCGGCATCATCTGTGGAAGCATCAGGGGGTGCTGCTGACACTGCGCCACCACATGGAAGCGAGAGAGAGAAAGATGGAGAGGAGGGAGGCGCGTGCCGGGGTGGGGGCAGCGGCTGCCGGTGCGCCGGAGGGCGGCCACCACCGGGCTTGGTGGTGCCGTGTGGCCCCGCGGAACGCATGCAGGAGGCAGCGCGTGGGAGGGGGAGAGCAGGGGGCGGGCCGCGGTGGCCGGGGCGTCGCCTCGCGCGCGTGCGCGGTGCCGGCAGCCGCGGCGGCCATGACGAGGAGCGAGGGAGAGAGAGAAGGGGGAAGGGGAGTAGAGACGGAGAGAGAGAGAGGAGGAGGCGAGAGATACTTTGGCTACGAGGAAGCGAATGAGTGGAGGGGGATTTCCGGGGGACGTGGCTCACCGGTGACTAAGTGAAGGGATCTCTGGGCGACGTGGATAGCGTGGTTGAATTTGGGGCGACGTGGCTGAACCAAACTGCAGTTACTGTTCACGGGGGTTACGTGGGTAACATGTGGGCGTGATTGGTACCTTGCATCAGCTTTCTCGGCCAGGCTCATGTCATACTGACCCATGGGAAACAGGCCAGCTAGAGCCAAAGGCGTGAGGGTTCCACCTCGTAAACTTTAGTCGCTGTCCGATACGTAGAGTATTAAATATAGGCTATTTATAAAACTAAATGGACAGTTTACGACTAATTTACGAGACGAATCTTTTAAGTCTAATTAGTTCATGATTTAACAATGTGGTGCTATAGTAAATATGTACTAATGACGGGTTAATTAAACTTAATAAATTTGTCACGCTGATTGCTGACGTATTCTGTAATTTATTTTTTTATTAATATCTAAATACCCCATGTCATGTGTATCAAGTCTGAGATCATGCGACTAACCAAACATCCACTGTGTAAAAGATGCTGCATGCACAAGAGTGAAGAACGCAGGTTGGCCCACCGCTTTGAGCCCCGCGCTGGCCTGGCCCATGAGAAACGAAGTCGAGTTGCGTTTCTCCTCAGCCTGGCTGAAGGTGCTTTGGGGTTTACACGGGCCTGGCTCAGACTACCGGCGCAGGAAACCAAACAAGCAGTAAAGTGAAAGATGCTGCATTAGACCGGCCTTGCACCAGCAGACTCAACCTACCAATCATGCCCACAAGCTGCTGAGGGTCTGCTTCGCTTTAACGGGGGAGATACTCCGCGCTGCTACTGCCTTGGAGTTCGCATGCAATGTCCGCCATGTCCTCCTGCCTGCAAAGCGTTGCCGAGCAAGATGCCGATGCCGGCGATGCGCAAGCGGAAGCCAACCTACAACTCTACAATCACTTCACCAACCTGGTCTCCTCCCTGCCGAGCTCGAATGGCCTGGGCTACAGTCAGCTCTTCCTCCACGGCCAAGGCTGGCACGCCTACCAGGGGGTCATGGTCGGCGCCATGGTCGCTGGCGCCTGCTTCTCCGTGCGGCCCACGGACATCATGGTCGCCACCTTGCCCAAGTCTGGCACGACGTGAATCAAAGCACTTCTCTACGCCACCGTGCACCGGGCAAAGCACCCCCCGGACGCCGCCGACCACCCTTTCCACACCCTCGGGCCCCACGAGTGCATCCCGTTCTTGGAGCTCCAGCTCTACACGAGCGATCGCGTCCCGGACCTCGGAAAGCTTCAGGACCCAAGGCTCTTCGCCACGCACGTCCCGTTCGTGGCGCTGCCGAGGTCCGTCGTCGCCACGCCGGGCTGCAAGGTAGTCTACGTGTGCCGCGACCCCAAAGACACATTCGTCTCACTGTGGCACTTCATGAACAAGCTCAGGGCCAATAAAGGGATGGAGCCCCTCTCGGTCGAGTTCGCCGCCGAGCAGTTCTGCGCCGGCGTGTCGCCGCGGGGCCCGTACTGGGAGCACGTGCTCGGGTACTGGCGCGCGCACCTCGCGCGGCCCGAGCAGGTGCTCTTGTTCAGGTACGAGGAGATGCAGAGGGACCCCGCGGCGCACGTCCGGAGGCTTGCGGAATTCGTTGGCCTCCCCTTCGGCGCCGGCGAGGATGGCACCGCGGACGCCACCGTTAGGCTATGCGCGTTCGACCGCATGAACGAGCTGAGGGCGACCAAAGATGGTAAGATGGAGTCGGTGGTCGGCGCGGTGGACAACAGCTTCTTCTTCCGGCGCGGCGTGGTGGGGGACTGGATGAACCATCTGTCTCCAGAGATAGCGCAGCGCATCGACGCCGTCACCCGCTCCAAGTTCCAGGGCTCCGGCCTCATCAGCATATAGCGTTTCAGTGTGCTCATCAACCTCTAGCCGCCATTTAATTTTGTCAGTTGTCATCAGTACGCCTAAACTCTTCTAAATAATAATCGATGTGAGAGAGTGAATCCCGAAGTTTCGTATTTCACATGTACGCCTTTTAATTTGTAATGAAGATCGAGTCATCATTTCTGTTTCCCGAAGTTATTTCGTGTTTCGCATGTACGTAAACTCTTCTATATAATCGATGTTTAATTGATTTTTCTGGGATTTTTTACTCCACACAAAAGTTTACTACTGTTTTTATACCTACCCGATTATCTGAGTTAGTATTTGCTCGTGTCAAGTAGCAACCGGTAACTGTTCCCTAGTTACATTAGCGTGTGTTTCTCTAATGTGCCCGTTATACAAAGGAAGGTTGGACCCAGGATAGTGTCACACTGTCACAGCCTCACTGGCATTGCTTGTTTAAACACGGTACAGATGCACGATCACACCAACTAATTTGTCAAAATTGCTATCAGGCACAGTTAGGTTCTCTGAAACTAACAATTTGTTGACTAATTTTTAGTCTTTAATGATCTAAACAAGCAGACTAATTGTTAGTCTATTAGCCATGGACTAGTTGTTACTCTATTAGTTCACATATAGGAGTTAATAGCACTAGTTATTAGTCCATTAGTCCACCTATAGGAGTTAATGGGACTGGTTGTTAGTCCTAGTCATGGTGTATTAGTCGTGGTGTATTAGTACTAGAGTAGTCCTAATCGTGGCGATGTATTAGGTACCGTCCCACGAGAGCACCGTATGTCGAGGGTACCTAGAACCAATAGAAGCTAGCCCATGAGCTATCTTATCTTATTACAAGTTCGGTGGCAATAGTTAAAAGAACACATCTCAACGTTGCCAGACACATACACAAGTGCCTTCGCTTCATGTATGAGGCCAACCATCGCTGATACTCGAAAGCAATCCGTATTTGTTGCCATCTTCAACGACACATGAGTCTGTTTCAATTGCCACGCACTGAATTCCCATCTCATTCGTATTTTTTTTCTCGCGGGAAAGTTGCGTACCTTTGTATTAACAGATGAAAAAACTGATCACATACAAAGATCACCACCTCACTTTCGGGCCGAGCCGCGAGGGGTACGAAGAGTCAGGGAGACTAACTAAAAAAGAATGAAAACTGAGTCTGGACCGAACAGGACAAGCGAGGCTAATTTAATCAAGCTTGTCACCGTGACAAAGGCCAAGGGCACGCTAGCTATACACCACAAATTAACGATGCTCTTCTTTGAACGCTCGGTGGAGGGAGATGATGTCCGGACTCTTGACCATCAGACCATCAAAGACACAAGAGTTTCTGTGCCTCCATAACATCCAAGTTGCAAGGATGATGAGTAAATTCGGCCCCTTCCATTTTTCTTCTGCGTCTTTTTCATCATTTTTCTCCACCATTCCGCAAAACGCGCAAAGGATGGCGAGATGCGGCGAGACACGCAATTTGAAGACCCAAAGGGGCAAAGGGCTGAGAATTTGAAATCAAAATTGGTGAGCAAACACACAATTAGTGAGCAAATGTTGGCTGTTCTCATTCGCATATCTGATAAAAAGACAACCATTTCCGTCTGAAAAAGGTGTCTATCACATTTGATAACCTGCCGGCACCCAGCTTCAACTCATCCCCCATACTAAGCCTATTTCTTTTGCGATCATCCCCCATACTAACCCTGATCACATAGTACAGCCTGATAAGTACTAAGATAACTACTGGAGTGGAGAGTAAGGAGTAAGAGGAAGGGTTGGTCCTGAACAAAGAACAAATGGACATTTTTTGGCTTTGCTAGCGCCCGGACGTCCAGAGCGCGAGACGTGTTGGGACGCCGGCGCCTGCAGCCGCTGGTCCCCCCGACTCCCATTGTTATTTCGCATGTCTGTAGGCTGCCAGGCTATCCCGCTCGATCACTCGTATGAATGGTTGCATGCAGCTCCTGTCGCCCGCCCGCATGTTGTTGATGTGCCTGGCCGCACACTGATGCTACTGTTGTTGCCGCGTGATGCTGTTGCCGCGCCCACTGGCTCGGCCCCGCCTGCTGCTACGGTACGCATGCGCCTGCTGACACGTCCGCTTCGCTTCCCGCGCACACGGGGACCACCTCTGCCTGCACCCACTTTCCACGCCTGCTCATGGAACATTTGCAACATGAAGCATTTCCTGCAACATACGTCTGAAACAGATGAAACAACATATGTGTATGGCCACTGCAACATATGCCACATCCAGATAAAACGCTTGCAACATACATTTGAAACAGCTGAAATATTTGAAACATACACTTGCAACATACGTGTATGGACACTGCAACATATGCAACATCCAGATAAAATACTTGCAACATACGTTTGAAACAGCTGAAACATTTGAAAACATACACTTGCAGCGTACGTGTATAGCCAATGCAACATATGCAACATACGTTTGAAAACAGCTGAAACATTTTAAACATACACTTGCAACATACGCGTATAGAGGCGTAAAAAAAACATACGCATATAGACATTGCAACATATGCAACACCAAGTCAACTTTTGCAACCTTCACATAAAACATATGCAACATACATCTAAAACGCATGAAACATACGGTTGTAACGTGTGCTCATCTACTTGCTGCCGCCTAATGGAGGCTTGTTGACGCGGAGCTCGATGCCACGGCGCAGAGGTCACCCACGGTCCACTGACCTCGGTTGTGCGCAGCGCGAGTCTAGGCGGGAGGCGCAAGGCGCGGCGAAGCGCAGCGCAAGGCGCGAGGCGATGGCGACGTGAGGCACGAGCAACGCACGCGCGTGAGGCATGAGGCGTGGGTGGGGGCACGAGGCACAAGGCACAAGGCGCACGCCGAGTGAGGCGAGAGACGTGGGGTCAGGCGGGTTCGTCCCATCTGGCTAGACGGACGCTCGGCGGAGAATATTATCGGTTTTTTAGGGAAGAAACAAATGGACATCTTCTGTAAGGATAGTGGATCTGTCTTCTTTTCGGCCCGGCCCAGTTTCATTTTTTTCAACGAACCCTGCCTAGCCGCTGCCGGCAGTTATTTCTGTTGGCTATTCCAGCATTTTACCATTACCCGAGCCCATCGGACAGTGCCCACTCCGGTATCAGTACAGTACACCTCACCTGCACTGACCTGTCTCTCCGGTCTCAGCCGCCCACCCTAACATTCGATCCCGAGGGCCCACTTTACAGGCTGCACGTAGCTTTCTCTGGCCTTGTTTAGTTCCGTGAAATTTGAGAATTTGGTTACTGTAGCACTTTTGTTTTTATTTGGCAATTAGTGTTCCATCATGAACTAATTAGGCTCAAAATGTTCATCTCGCGATTTCCCATCAAACTGTGCAATTAGTTTTTTTTTCATCTACATTTAATGCTCCATACACATATCGCAAGATTCGATGTGATGCCTACTGTATCATTTTTTTGGAAAAACTTTTTGAAACTAAACAAGGCCTCTGCTATAATTTACTAATCTCGCAATTAATCATCACATCCATAATCCTGTTTATACAAAAGAAAAATCTTTATTCCGATGCAATCCAGCTGTTGCAGACGACGTGAGGCCTACCTCTCCATCCACATCCACCGCAGTTTCAACAATTTAAAACGGTTTAGTTGAAATGCATTATTTTCTCCATTGATGAGGAGAGGCAGCACGACTTGGCCAGCCATCGGCAATCGAACCAGATCTTTTTCAGCACGTCCTATTATTTTTTTTTCTATTCACAACGAACTTGTGCTAGGCTTTGCGGCGTGCTCGTTTCGACTGAATTAGCTTATAAGGCATGGTTGAAAGTACTGCTGGCTGGTTTGATACGAGAGAAAAACACTATTTAAGTTGTGAATTATAAGCCAGATACGAGCGAATAAGCCGAAACAAACAGACTGTTAGTTTGCTGTGTGTATTCACAGTCTGGCCCTGCAGATTTTGCTGTCGATACAGCCTGTTCGCTTGCTCGTAAACGATCGTAAATTTCTAGCAGGGAATAGTATTTTTCTCTCACACTAAACCAGTCAGTAGTAAATAATCCACGATACGATACGGCCTCCCGAACAGATATTTTAGTTTCTGAATTTCATTGTCACATCTAGTCTAATATTTTGAAGGTGACGTGTCCTTGTTAGGCTGAAAATCAAAAGGGGAGAGAAGGAAAAAGGCAGGGCAAGAGAGGGGAAAGTACCTAGCCAGCTCGGAAGCAAGCAGGAGGAGGCAGAGATGCCAACCGCAATGTTCTGTCATCTCTGCTCATGAGCAAATCGGTAACAAGCTTGATCATGCTTCTCTTCACTGATCATTCTGTGATCTGATTCTAACTCGTTTCTCATTAATCCAATCCCAAGATTTCACACACGTTTACCTGCAGTGGGCACAGGAGAAGCCCTATCGAGGTCAAGGTCGCCCATGGATGGAGATCATAGGAGGCAATCCGCCGCCGCCGCCGCCGTGGTCACCGTCACACAGGCGGCGCGCGCGCAGGACAGCCCCGCGCGGCGCCTGATCGCCTGGCTGCGGCCTCTCTTCCGTGAGTGCCGTCTCGTTTCTCTCGTCGATTCTTCAGTCTATCCAAGAAGAAACAGTCCAGCTCGATCGTGATCCAACCCACGGGCGCTTCGGTTCTGCAGGGGCGTTCGTCCATAGGTACGGCAAGATCGCGAGCTGGGACGCGGCGGGCCGCCCCGTGTTCGTCATCCTCGCCGTCTTCTTCCTCCAGAGGAGCCTGCGCCGCCGGTACCTGTCATGGAAGGAGTCGTCGCGGCTGCGGCTGATGGCCGCCGCCGTCACCGTGCAGGCGACCGTCAGGGCGATGGCGGCGCGGCGCGAGCTCTCTGTCCGGAAGCAGACCAGAGCTGCCACACGCATCCAGGTACTAGCATACAGTGATCAACTGTAGCTTCGCTGTGTGGCTGCACACGCTAGTAATGGATTCTGAATTTTCATCGTGTCCGGGGGAAAAAAAAGGCGCAATGGCGTGCCCACAGGGCGGTGTGGAGCTACCTGACGACGAAGAGAGCCGCCCTTATCTGCCAACGTGCTTGGAGGCAAAGCATTGCAAGCAAGGAGCTCAGGAAGCTCAGACAGGTCCAACCCTCATCTTCTACTGCTCATGGTGCCCGGTTTTCTTGTGTTCTCCGCATGATATATGGACAATGTGCAGGAAAATCTTGAGAGGGAAATGCTGGATGAGATGTGCAGGCTGCGTGAGATGGTGGACGTGCTCCAGCAGGCTGTCAATGACGCCGAGACGAGAGCCATTAACGAGAGAGAGGCGGCGAAGGATGCGATAGCGCAATTGGAAGCAGCCTCGGTGGCGATGGTTGAGGACACTGAGAAGGTCAAGGCGTTGAATGCCGAAGTTGACCGCCTGAAGGTCTCTCCTTCACACCAACTTCATTCAGAGATTGTGTAATGTGGAATGGTTTCATCTGAAAAACATGATATCTGAACACTCAAGATCAAGGCTTGATGGGGTGCAGGATTTGCTGGGAGCTGAAATGAGTGAAACTTTTGCGGCCAAGAAGGCGCTTGCTGAAGCTGAATTGAGGAATGAGAAGCTGGCCAGGCTGCTTGGAGTTGAGGAAGTTAAGAACAAACGGCTTCAAGATTCCCTGAAAAGGTAATTATAAGGGTTCAAAATCAGATAGCACTTGCCATTCCTCTTTGCACAATGCACGCTTCCAGTGAGTTCATGATGGAAATTCTAGTGTTTTGCATGGTTATTTCATAGGATGGAGGAGAAGGCTTCTAATCTAGATGAGGAAAACAGAATGCTTCGACAGGCTGTGGCGTCAAACCCTGCTATTGTCAAGTTGCCATCGAGCGAAAACCATGAAGCATCTGGTATTCAGGTACGTCCAATCATCGTATCATTAACTAATTTGTGATGCCATGCCCAGTATTAAGAAATCATAGTTTCTTTTAGTTAATAACTGATCATAGTTGTATACATTTATGTTGGCAGGCAACTCCAGATAATGAGAAATCAGCAAACGGTACAGTGAAGCCCATAATAGTGGATAGGGAGGCTAATATCCATGTATGTATTATCCTATAACCATTTGAGTCAATAACTTCTTTTGTGGGTTTCTTATGCATTGCTGACATGACATAATGGATTTCTATCTAGGAGAAGAGTGCTGAACAACCTAGCTCAAATGGTCACGAAGCTGAGAAACAACAGCAAGTATGACATTAGCTCTGAACTTTTCAGCTTTACTGTTTTGCAGTTCATGCCATGCGTCTGAGCATCATTTTAATATCTCAAAACGTTCAGGAGCTTCTGATCAAGTGTCTATCTGAAGATCTGGGTTTCTCGATCGGTAGGCCTATTGCTGCATACCTCATATACAGGTGTCTAGTTCATTGGAGATCATTTGAAGAAGAACGGACCGTGGTCTTTGACAGGATTATTCAGAAGATTACTGCCACACTTGAGGTATCTGGCAGTGTGGCAAGAATATTGGATAATGGATTTTACGTTTGTAAGGAATGAAAACATAATCTAATATTCTTCCATTGCTAGGCGCGAGACAACAACGAGACACTAGCATATTGGCTGTCCAATTCATGCACGTTGCTGGTTCTTCTTCAAAGGACACTGAAAATCAACGGGGTAGCTGCTTTGGCTCGTCAGAGACGAAGAGCATCACCCCTTAAGGTGCCACAGGTAATGTGCAGAAATCCCAACACTGTGCTCAATTACTGTCAAACATGATGCTGTCAATGGACTTGGGAATTCTGAAATCTGATCTCACTCCAGGAAAACCAAGATCCTAGCCATCCTGACCGTCCAGTTTCCAACGGAGGGTTGATCAGTGGACTAACTGAAGTTTACCAGGTTGAGGCCAAGTATCCAGCTATTGCATTCAAGCAGCAGCTCACTGCATTGTTGGAGAAGGTTTATGGGATGATCCGGCACAATCTAAAGAAGGAACTGTCGCCACTTCTTGGCCTGTGTATTCAGGTAGTATTCTGCACAATGTAGTTCTCAAGCGTCTTTGCCAAAAATTATAACCCAGGGTTTAAATCTTCTCCAGGCACCACGTACATTTGTTGTCAGTCCCAGAGGATCATGTTCTCAAGGAACAGATTTGGCACAACAAGCTTCCATGGCACATTGGCAGAGCATCATCAAAATCCTCACAAATTCTCTCAATGTTCTGAAATCAAATTATGTATGTGCCAAAAGCTCAATACTACAGAAGCTGATACAGTTTTTTTATTGGAACACACTTGATTCAAGACTGTTGCATTGCAGGTGCCTCCATTCCTGATTTGCAAGCTGTTCACACAAGTCTTTTCATTTATCAATGTGCAACTTTTTAACAGGTGCCTGCTCATTCATCGTTAACTCATAATAGACAGAATTAGCATTATGAACCCATGTAACATTTCTTCAATTGTAGTCTTTTACTACGGCGTGAGTGCTGCTCATTCAGTAATGGAGAGTATGTCAAGGCTGGGCTGGATGAGTTAGAGCATTGGTGCTTTTGGTTGACTGAAGAGGTGATGGCATCTTCAGACTGGTTCAACAAACCTTTGACAAAGCAGTCGCTAACCTTCCCCCTTTTTGGGCAAAAGTTTCTAACCTTTTTAACCTGTAACTGTAAACAGTATGCAGGATCTGCATGGGATGAGCTGAAGCATATCAGGCAAGCAGTTACCCTCTTGATACTTGAAGAGAAGCATAGCCGGAGTCTCACAGAGATCACAGACGACTTCTGCCCAGTAAGTTTATGAACCTTGCAAACTACTACACGCTTTTGAAGTTTTGATACCATCATTCTCAAGTTAGTGACAAAATTGGGCGTCTATGGTACCGATAGGCGCTGAGCATGCAGCAACTGTACCGGATCAGTACGATGTACTGCGACGACAAGTATGGAACCCTGGGCATTCCATCAGAAGTGAGTGATCCCAACACACTCCTGTCAAGAACTTTCAGGATTCGATTTGTTCACTTTTTGGACTGAATTCTCTCTCTCTCTCTCTAAACCGCAGGTCATCTCGAGCATGCGGACCAAGATGATTGATGGCTCGAGCAGTCCATCGGCGCATGATGACATCAATTCGTTCCTGCTAGATGATGACTTCAGGTACTGTCTCCTCTTTCTTTCTTTTTTGAATCTTGATCTGCCTGATGATACATTGATCCTCACCAAGATTGCATTTCTGAGTGCAGCATACCGTTCTCCGTCGATGACTTCACGAAGCTGATAGTGCACGTCGACGTAGCGGACATGGACCTGCCACCGCTGATTCAGGAGAGCAACGGCTCCAAACTGGGACATTGAACTGATCAGCAAACTTGGCGGTGACGACATACACGCCATTTTTGTGTGTGTGTTGCGGTGATGTACATAGTGCGTGATATATTACGACATATACCACAGTTTTGATATCTGGGTTTTCAACTTTTGATTGCATATATATACGGTTTTGGTTTTTCTTCTTTGACTGATCTTCATTTCTCTACCACCTGAGTGAGTGCCTGATTGGGTTTGCGTGTGTAAGGTTGTACAGAACTGAGCTGGCATATAAAGTATCTATGTAAGCAAAGAAAGCCTTTTTGTTTGATTTTTTTCATAAGAGTGAGTGATGCTTGCAAGCCAGGCTTTCCTTCGCCGTGTGTGCTCTCAGATTCTAACTGTGACACCTGTCACTTTTTTTTTGTTTGAAAGACGCCTGGGGTTGATAACCTCCACAACTGTTGAGCATCTGTCAATCTCACAATAATGATCTAAAGAAACACTGTCGGGCATCTGGAATTGATGACCTGTCTATCTTCATTGCCTCTGATTGTACTCTAGCAGTGGGATTTGGATCTGGCCATGGCCAGCGCATGGACAGTAAAGTGGTCATGACAAATATGTTAAACCAGAACCACTCTTTGGGTTAGGACAAGGTTACTACTGACACAGACGTAACAGACAAGGTTAGGACAAGGTTGCGATTGCGAACAATGACCGTTCGTTCATCTCTCTGTCAACAACACTGCTGCTGTATGCCTGTATCAGAGCTCAGAGGAGGACAGACCAAAACACATGATCAATGTAGCAGCACGTTGTTCACACGACTCAAAAGAAAGGAGGGAGAAAACAACTGCACGATGTGCAGGCGATTAAAAATTGACGGAGGGCTCAGTTACTTTTTGATCCAACACGACACTTGATCGCGGTCCTTTCACATACTGACACTAGTGCCTTGCAATTTCAACGGGCCCCCACCGAGAAGCGAGAATACGCTTGTTATCTATCACAGCCACATGTATGACAGCAGTGCGAGATCCGAGCAGTGGATGTGTCGCGCAGCAAGTGTGCAGAGCAGGTGAGAAGAAGATCCTCCAACTCTGGCTACCGTCCTCGAGTGAATTTCAGTTGAAATCCTCATGCTAGTCTAGAAGGATTCATCCATGTCCATGGAGTTGGAATTACACGTTTTGGTTGATTTGTCAGAGTGATGGATTTGCCCTTGAAATGCAAGACAAACAATTGCTTTGGACCTTTCTTCCATTCTTTGTATTTCCTTATGAAGTCTTAGGCCCTGTTCGTTTGAACTTATCAGTCGTACCGTTTCAACGAAATAACATTGTTTTTCTCTTACAATAAATCAACATCAGCATCAACTGTTTTTCCAGCCAGCCGAACAGGGCCATAGAGAAGGAAAGGGGGTAGTGAGCGGTCTATAACAGTAAAGCGTCGGAAAAGGAGGTGTGACCATGAAGAGGTTGGGCTGGTTTTAAGAGGATATGCGAATGCTTACACATTGATTCTTCATTTCTTAAGGTGGACTCTGGTTTGTCTTTGTAGGATCACAGTGTTTTACTCTGTGTGCTGCAACCAAAGCCAGTGACCGGTCGTTTTCACTCCGTCTATTCTGGTGTTGATGGTCACCGCATGACCCAGAAGTTCCCTACTAATCCTCCTCCTTCACTTACAAGACTTTGCGTTCAGCATTGACCAGCAAGTTGAACTGAACAAGCCACCTTATTAGTATTTTTTTATTCCTTCGTTGCAAACAGGTGAAGCAAGGAAGAGAAAATAAAGTATATCATAAGAAAATTAAGTACAAGCAAGTGAAAAGTAAATAAAAAGGGAAAGTAAAAAGAAATTTTCAACCCTGTGCATAATCATGGCGAGCATATGTTGTTTATATATATCTTGCCACCACGTGTCCCACTTCCCAAATTTTTAACTAGTACTAGTAGTGGAGGAATGGTAAATGTTTTAAACAAAACCTGTGTAGCCAAATCTTGTTTTAAGAAACAAAAGGAATACACAAGGACACTGCTAACCTGAGCTTGACAACGCACTATAGCTTCACTTTAAACAGCCGTCCAAACTTTTATCGTTAAACTAATGCACGTTTCAAATCCAAGGACCCCATAAACCTATCTGTCTTTAGTGTGACATATCGTTAAATTATTCTCTCATGTTTGAAATGGACAATGCTAAGGCATTGTTTGGATGTTATCGGATTTACCTTAATCCACGTGTGTTGGGGTAGATTAGAGTGGAATTTAGTTGAAGTTCCACTCCAATCCACCACAACACATGTGGATTGATGTGAATCTAATTACATCCAAACAAGACCTAATGGAGTAGAGTTTTCGTGTGTGTATGTATGTTTATATATAGGGCTGAATATGCATGTATGTTTGTGAACATTTGTGTCTATGTTGTGCGATTGAAAAAAAAATGGCTCTCTAACTAGCAAAATCTGCCGTTGTGCACTCTGAAGGTGCCATCATGGGGCTATTCAGTTGGTGGTTTCTACGGTTGATAAATCGGCTGATGCTGTTTTGTTACGATAAAAAAATACTGTACCATAGCTGATAAGCTGAGCCGATAAGTTCAAAGTGTGACGTATGGTTCCTTGGCCGCGTCGTCTCCGTGCCCCAAAGCCACGCATTGCAGTTGGCGTGGCAAGCAGCTGCCAGCCACTAGCTCCAACTGAAACCAATGATCTGAACATCTGGATGTGCAGCTAGTGCAGTCCTACGTCACTGTGATGGACTGCACAATTTGGGGGCAGAAACTAACACGAGTGATAGTGAGATAATCTGCTGAAAACACCAGATATCATGAGCAGCAGATCAATATCAACCTGGAAGTAGCGGTGCGTAATCACTAAGAAACCAGCTAGAATTTTCTAGATTAACAGCTCCGGCGGATCATGTTACTCTTTGGAGTTTGGATCTGCTTGCAAAGGATCACTTCTAATCTGTACAGTGGCATGTTCTTCACTTCCTATAGTGTGTTCAGCTTAAATGATGGCACAGTACATGATTGATTTCGTCGATTAAAGTGACGGGTTTAATTTGCCTCCATATGATTTGCGGGTGTTTATCGATCCATTGTCTCTTGTTCTTCAGCTGGCCTGATTGATGTTCGACGTTGGTGATTTGTAGGGTGAGGGTTTGTAGGCAGGCAAACGGCCACCTGGCACCTGAGCTTAATTTGTGTTCCGATCAAGACCAGTGATCGGTCCTTTTCATCCTACCTCTATCTCTCTTGATTTATGATGCTTACCAATGTCATGTTCGTTTGACTGATAAACTATGACTGAAAGTACTGTTGACTGATTTGTTGCGAAAGAAAAATATTATTCGTTGACTGAAAAAGTACGGCTTATAAGACAAGCGAACACGGCACATAATGTGCCAAATGAGCGACCCGAGACTTCGCGGTAATGCACCTTCACTTGCAAGCTTTTGTGGTTTTCAGCATTGACCACTTCGTTATTAAATTGGCCGGTTTGTTCCTGGGTCCTTGCTAGTGTCAACGAGCTCGGCACTCCTATTGATTAAGCTAGCATGTCTATCTAAGATAACATTGCGGCCATAAATATACAGCAAATGAGTGAACAAAACAGTACTTCAATTGTTTGAAAATTTTACCACTCCTATAATTGTTTTAGAAAAAAAAAACATTGGATCTACATGTTACACATGGGCTCTAGCAAATAGTACATGCAAAAGTGATGCATACAACGTGTGCGTGGTATATGTGCGTTCAACTTGTAACTGAAAAAAAAATACACAGAGGTAAACGACTTAATTATTAAATGATATCGATCCAACAAGATAAGATCCTGATGATGCAGAAGTGGAGAATCTCACCATAGCTTCTCCTTAAACAACGGTCCACATCATCAATCAAATTTGACGTGAAAACCAGTTGGGAGCAATGGAGCTTTTTTTTCTTTAGGGGTGGCTGGCATTGGAGCCACCTTACACTGACGTGCTCGGGCTCCAGCACAACAGCCGTCCCTACAAATGGCACAGTCGGGGCGGCTGGTAATACGAGCCACCCCTACAAATGCGTCGATTTGTAGGGGCGGCTAGTATTACCAGCCGCCCCTGCTGTGTCCATTTGTAGGGGCGGCTTAATCACCAGCCGCCCCTACAAATGCCCGCTGTATATATAGCGGCCACCTTTAGGAAAATTCTCTCCCCCTCCTCTCCCAGTCTCTCTCCTCTTCGCTCACTCTCTCCCTCGACGCGAACAAGGCGGCGGCGGCGCCTGGTGCGAGCGGGCGCGGCGGCTGCGGCCGCCTTTCTCCACCTCCTCCCCCCATCGCATCATTCTGTGTCGGCCGGTCCCTCGCCGCTGGCTCACGCCGCGAGGCGCTGGCGGCAACCGACGGCGCTCTCGGGCTACGGTGCGGCGTCGGCCATGGGACCCAGCGGTGCCCGTCTCCGTCCATGGCGCCACGCGAGCGGGCCTCACCGGTGGCGCCGGTGTGCTCCCACCCCTTGCTGCCTCCTCGCGCCGGTCAACGTCTGCTTCTGTGCTCCACGAAACCCTAGCCTCTCTCTCTCCCTCCCTCCCTCTCTCCATAGCACCGCAACCACCGGCCTCTCCTCCATTGGCGCGGCCACCGGCCTCTCCTCCGTCGGCACGGCCACCATCCCATCCTCTCCTGCTCTGCCTCCACCCCCCTCTCCTTTCCTCTCTCTCAGATCTAGATGCTACCGCCCTACACCGCCATGGACCCCAAGGAGGACGGCTTCTGCGTTAGCGGCGGCGGCGCGGTGGATTCGGTGCCTCCTCGACGTCCACGTCCCCATGGACCTCCTCGACACCTGCGCCACCACCCCCATGGTCCTCCCTGATGTCGCCGCCCCTACCCCCAAGGGCTTCTGGACGCCTGTGTCGCCGCCGCCGTAGGGTCTCTCAGGCACTCATGCAGTCGTGTTGTTGCCATCGGGAGGTGTGCTCTCTCTTTTACCCTCTCAGATCTACTCTCTTCGGTGGATTAAGGGATTGGTGGGACTGGGGTTAGGGACTAG